TAAAATACACACTATGTGGTAATTGATCATTTTATTTTATACTTTCAGTTATGGAATGACGTGTTCTCTGACAGCACTAAGCAATGTAAAGAATATAAGAAATTAACATTTTATTTACATGTATATTTTGCTATATTACCTATATGTAAATTATATGCATGTGAATATAAAGAACATGGTAAGAAAAACAATACTATATTATCACATAATATTTTTTTAATTAATATATTATCATACTGTGTGCTTTATGTAGCATTTTAAATTTCATTTTTTTGTCATAAATTAAACAGGATCGGAAATAAGTACTCTGAGATTGTCTTCAACAGATCTTGTTTTGGAAAACCATAAGAAGGTAATATGCGATCAAATTGTGTAAAAAAGATTTGCATTTGTATATATTTTGCAACTTTCCCAAAAATTCTCGATTATATTTAAAATCTCAAATATTTATATTTGTATAAAATTATATAAATGTAATCTATTAATATATATGTATTATGTGTTGTATAAAATTATTATTTTAAAAGCAATTAGCCTAAGAATCTTATTAATAAAAAACAGAACAGTGGAACCGAAATCGAAAAAAATATAAATAACAACATGAAACAGCTGCAAGATTACTTGAATGGAGATGGCAAGGAATTAGAATATGACATGGAATTTCAACCGTTTTATACACTACCGTTCACAAAGGATCTTCATGCAAATACTCTTTTCTCCAAAATGTTAGAACCACATTGGTTGGATGAGCTATCCAAGAATCTAGATTTATTTATCACAGATCATAGACAAGTAAGCAATGTGTTAATTCGAGTTTATATTAGTGAAAAAATGTTTGCTCAGAATTATGAATTTTACCAAATTTACAGGATTTAGATGATTTAAGTAATATGAGCTACAATAAGATACAATCACAGAATGCAGAGTCGGCGCAAAGTAAAACTACAAAAGATAACATCCCAATTATAACAAACGACAGAGATATACCCATATTTTTCGAGAACAATGACGAGGAGCAATACGGTTTTGGTCACAAAATCAATCGTAGTTTAAAATCAAGGTAAAAGAGGTGTGCGCTATGATAGTTTAATTAAGAAATTAAAATGATAATATATTATTTATGCACAGTGGTACGCAAACGCGCATCATCGGAGATCAAATTAAATTTGATAATTCGCAAGAATATAAATCCGATGTGGGAGAAAGCGTCGATAGTTTACCACGGATGCACAAACAAGACAGAAGATTGATCCAATGCAATCAGGAATTAACATTGACTAAAGACCACTTATACAATATTCATGCGAATTATGAGAAGCTAAAGTCAAAATTTCATAAGCTGCACGTGGACTATAATAAACTGATAAATATCGCCAGGGAATTGACAATCGCGCTGGAGAATTCGTTGAAAGGCCAGACCGTCGATGTGGAACAAACTCTCGAGATTTGCACAAACATTTGTCCGGATTTATTCAATAAAAATATAAAAGATATTTCCTACGTAAATAAGATTCTATATAAAATACGTTTCTTCTTATTAACATTCTTCTGTCTATCTGTTTTCTAGTATTTTGCTATTTCCTCTAGACATCCTTGCTGCAACGCAGACACAGTGATCGCCTGTACAACAGAGAACCGCCTAGACTTGACATCACAACCACACCGGTACTTACCAAATTATTGGACTTCAAAAAGATCAAGTTACACTTAGTCAACGGGGATGTCAAAACGAAGTTGTTGCTGTTACAAGCGTTGCGTTGGGTAAATGAAAAAGGACCGATATTTGTACAAGGTGATGCTATCAGTTATCCTTAAATAACGCTTACAATTTTAGAAAGTAACAACTACACAGTCGACAGAACGCAACGAGGTGCTGCACGAGTACATGAGCCACGATTTGCTGGGGCTTCATGGACAAATTGCTAGCGACAGCAACAAGCCACTTCTGCCGTGTCTGCTGACCGCGGGAGAGGCTTACGCCAGGCATCTCTTGCAACAATTCATCGCACGATTGCTAAACACTCTGGCATCTTTTAGATACGGAAGAGACTACCTGTCAGTCGGCTCCATTGTCGTAAATGTGGTATGTTGTTGCGTAAATGTGTGATATAATATCGGACGTTTACATGTTCGTTGTTACATCAACAGAAATTATGATTTTGTGGCATTTTTCAGACGTTTGATTGTCTCAATAATGCTGACGGAGTGGACTCTTTTGCGTGCGACATGTTGGTAGCGATGTTACAAAAGTTGTCTTTACGCAGACAACAACGGATATATATGATAGAAAGCGGATTATTGGAATGGCTGATCGGTCACCTACACGACAATTGTCGCGTCATGAATTTATACAGACTCGAGTATGCCACCGCGCTTTTAATGAACTTGTCGTTACATCGTTTAGCTCACGCCAGGGCGGCGAAAATCTCCTCGTTGTTGATGTCTACTTTACTCATCCTCCTCTCGATAGATCACACGTCTGTGAGTAAAGTAACAGTGTATGTTTAATGTTCAGAGACAACATTTTATCTTCATGATATATATAGAAATCTTTATATGAATTAATACAAAATTTGATATTCATACTAGTCACTGCAGTATATCAATGAAACATTAAACAATTTTTTGAGCAATCCTGTTATCAATGAGGAAGCGAGGAAAATGAAGCGTTCGAATATGTCGGATTATATTGATGGCAACCTGAAAACTGTAGAAATAAGGTAAATATTTTGATAAAATATGACAAATGAATAGTTTTTCCGGTGTGATACCAAAAAAAATAATTGCATTTAAGTATGCTTAATTGTATGTCATTTGTATTTTATTTCTTTTTGTCAATTGTAGGGGTGAAAGTAGAGACTGCAAATCTCTACTTTCACCCTTACAATTCAGGGAATTGGTTGTATATTAATACAACATGGTGAGAATTACAAAAGTGAACAGATTTACTAAGTGTTGACTTAGTAAATAAAATTGTAAATCTAGTAAATTCGTTCACTTTTGTCATTTTCACTAAATTATGATAAGATACAATCGATCTCTGAGCAGTTTTTAGGTGACTGTGAGTCACCTAAAGTCTTTAACCCTTTTCGTATATGCTAATGAATAGATTGATACAAAATATGAAATTTCTTCCGTGCTACTATAGTAACTTCTCAGATCATATGGTAACTTTTCCTTTAATTGCCTTTTTCTTATTTAATCATACGAAAATCTTCTTTTATAAGTTACGAAAGAATTTACTTATTTTTAGCAAAATTTGCAAAAATATATAATATGCTAATAAAAAGATAAAAATATAAAAGATAAAAATATAAATATATAAGTGTCTATTATTGTTTGCACAAATTTCAAAGTTTATTATTAGTATCACATTAAAAATTTGAATGAAACAAATATATTTATGTATTTATTTCTTAATTTTCATATTTTTTTATTTTTAATTTTATTGATTCTGTCTTTAAGACGTTTTAAGTTTAAAAAATTAAAGTTCTTTTTACTAATTTATGTGGGAAAAGTAGATTATAATAATGATAATAATAATTATAAGAATTATAGTTGTGTTTCATAAAATTGCTGCCGTATTATTATAGCGGTTTTTCGAATTGTAAAGATTAATATTTAAAATATTCATAAACACACGAGTTGGAATATATACATATATATATATATATATATATATATATATATATATAT